CTTTACAGCACTATGTAAGTATGAATGTACAGTTGGTTCAGTCTTGTGTGTGTTCTGCTGGCTGCAGTCACATGGCAGGTCACAGTCAGGTCACCCAAGGAAAAAAACGTCAACAAACAAGAACTATTACAGCGGAATTTGAAGTTTTTTCACAGCGAAATCGGATTTTAAGCCTGTTAGAGGGTGTGACTGGTAACACATACGGTGGGAAAATAAAAAACTCTCGTCTAGATGTGTTTGTGATTTTCCATTAAAGAGACACAGCATGAGAAACGCATTTTGAATTTGACTTGCATCATTTTGAATCTGGTCTTTCAAAATCATATGACATGCTCTGATTTTAGCAACCCCCTTTTAAATATAACTGACTATTTATTCATAATGACTGCCGAGAAATAATGATGTAACTTTGAGCACAAATCAGGAACCTGTTCCAGTGAATGATTTGGAGAACGGTGCCTTAATTAACAACATCTGCAAAGGGCATATAAACTGACAGATTGTGAAGTTGTTGATTGTAAAACTTTTCCGTTTTATTTTTAGAAAATTGGGGCTCATAACAAGGCTGAAAATCATGCTGAGAAGTTTTGTTCTTCTTGTTAACAGACTGTTTGAGTAATGTAGCATCACAAAGATGTCAGTCAAACATGTTCACAGCTACAGAATACAAACTGTCCAGAGGTATGAAACTAATCAATCTAAAAAGAACTGACCTGAATATCTGTAGCTGTACTTTAATCCTGTTTTCTTCAAAGAAAGGGTAAATAATAGTAAAATGAATCCACATATCAGGATAAAATCTGCATTAGTTGTTTGAAAAAAAAGAAAGAAGTATTTTTAATGTTCCTTTATATAATGTAAAGGATTGACTTACACACACCGAATCTGAGTTTGGATGTGACATATCCAACATCTCACAGTAATTATGATTTGATGCAAGAAATCAGGGGAATAAATGCGGCCCTTTTATCAAAATTACTCAATTGTTTGCCGTTATGAGATAAATGGTTTAACACACTTACTTGACAGCTAGCTTTTAATTTGTAGATTATTATTAACATTTCTATTTGCAGTTGCAGGAAATCTTGTTGAACACAAATTTCTAATTATGCAGTTAAGTTTAGGTAAAATGTTATGATATATGCCAGGTATTCCTGTCTTTTAAATGTTCCATGTCGGTCCACCTAAAGCAGAGTAAAACATTTGCACGACTGCATCCTGCTCGCCTTTCTACAGTGCCAATTAGAGGCCTTGAATGTTCAGTATGTTTTACTTTCTGCATCACTCCTCTGATTCTGGAGCCCCACTGATCTGGGCCAAGTTCTTTTACTTGCAGTTTCTCCGCCAAAGTTCTCCTCTCAAATTATTTTAGACTTTATTTAGTTAGAAGGAGGAGGAAGTCTTGGGCCCCCACATTTGTCATTGTCAGTAAAGCAAAGTATCACAACGCTGCTGCTGCTGCTGACTGATTCTGCTTGGGGCACTAAAATAATTACCCTTTTCACATTAGACCGGAGGACGCCGATTGGCTAAATTTATTCAGCTACGTGACTGTCTTCAGTCAGCAATCAGCTACACTGCTGCACAATGCTGTGGTTTACACACAAGGGCTGTTTAGAGACATGCACAAACAGGGTGTTTCTCCCACAACAATGATGATTTATGTGTCATATCTTACACAGTGATATCAGGCGTGTTTCTTATTTAAACATCGATCCATGATCTGCACACCTACAGCCAATTTACTATCACCAGTTAACTTCCTAGGCAGGTTTTTGGACTGTGGGAGGAAACCCACACAGACACAGGGAGAATGTAGAGTTTCATATTCTGAAAGTTAAGCAACTTCTCAAAAGCCCAGTCAATTAGCAAGTTCAAACTAAGAAACTTCTTCTGTTCACCACTGTAGCATCATGCAGCCTGTATTTAAGCAAAATATTTCAAAAAGGTTTGTTTTACAAAACACACACACACACACACACATTTAAAGAGTAAGTGCAGTGCCTAAGTGCCCTATGCTGTGCAGCTGATCCACCTATTGTTGATTTTTACAAGTTTTTCATCTCTGTTGCCTGGTTACACCTCGTCTCGGGATGTTTCTGAGCAAATTACCTATATGGCAGCTCCCTCACTCCCTAATAATTTGTCATATTTGTTTAGGATAGGGCTATTTACAAGAAGCCGACCCATATTGGATTTTTAGGGATAATGCCAATACCAATATTGAGAAGTAAAAAAAAATTGTCTGTCTCTAAGTGTAGCCCTGTGATAGACTGGTGACCTGTCCAGGGTGTCCCCTACCTTCGCCCTGAGTCAGCTGCAACCCTGGTGAGGATGAGGCGGTGTATAGATAATGGATGGGTGGATGGATCTTTTGACTCATTTGTGCTACCCTACTAAGTCCTTATGTGCTCAGTAGAGGACATCTTGGCCTTTCCAATGATATCTCATGTGTTTGGGTGGGCTGAGGGGAATTTTGTTTTCATGGTGAGACAACATAGAGACAGCAGCAAAATGCACTTTTTTCCTCGGTTCTCAGGAGGATATATACAGTATGTCAAAGTTATACTGGCATAAGGGGAAATTATGGCATCATAATTTATTAACTTTGCAGCAATGTATTTCACAAACAAATCAGCAACTTCACATGAAGAAACTCCTTGACTCTCCACAACCTTCTGCTCCACTGTAACAGTACTCTGCTACATGTGCTGCAGACAGAGATGAAACTATTAAAAACAGTGAAAATGGAGCTACTCTGCTGGAGCAACTATGTTATGAAATTGTTTTAAATTATCCTAAGTATCTTTTTCGACATTATGTTCTGTTTAAAAAAAAAAAGAAAAAAGAAAAAAGTTTTCATGTTGGTGTACATACATATATAGCAATACATTGTTATATATACTGTTGCCCATAAAGTTGGAATGAAATATTTTATCTCTTCTCATGAAATGATTGTGACAATGTGATTTATTCTTGATAGATAAAGTGTACATCGTCTTAAAACTTTATTAATGTCACAATATGCATACAATACATATCACAATAAATATAAAACCATAATTAACTTTTGCAAACTTTGTATTTAGGCTTAAATAAAATTGAGGGTATTGAACAAAAGGTTTAAGGGTTTTGTTTCCATTTTTCAACCTGGGTCAATTTAACAGGAAACACGTATTCGAGGGGATTCAATGCATAAGAATGTCCAATATTACTCTTTCAAATGTCACTTTGTCACTAATGTTGAATATAGATGACAGATATGTCAGTCAGGATCTGCTATTTACTCCTTGATCACTGTTATTATATATAAATTAGGGATGGACTGATACCTCTTTTTGATTTCCGATACCGATAC